AGTGCTCTGGCGATAGCTGAGGCATCAAAAGAATCTTATCCAGACGATGAAAGCCTTAGTGGCTCAATGTTAAGTCTGGCTCACAGTAATAGTTCTACATCCTTCCCCCCTAATAGTCTTTAATTTTAATCATATTGATAGAATATGTATGTATGTACGTTTGCCTGTAGTGAGTGCATAACGAGTTTACCGACGTTCAATTCAATGACTTATACATAGCAGAAGTTGACTCGTTACGTGCATTAACTCAAACCTAAGAGGTTTGTTAGGGTTGGGAATGTGTATTGGACTGAAATTAATGTAACAGCATATTTTTTAATTATCAAAATATGTCAACGTGATCTATTCGGAAATGAGAGCTTCATATTGAAGAACTTAGATGCTTTTTGCAACGTTGTAATATTTATTAACCATATCCAAATACCTTGTGAAGTAAATAGAAGTAATGAAAGAAAAATGAAAAAATCTTTTAAGTATCAATCTTATCGGGATTGAAGTAAGCCAAGTAATTACACGGAAAAATTTTATAAGCGACTACCGAAAATGTTTAGAGACATTTATTTATCAATATCTTGCAATTATAATAATTAAAGAAATAGTATAATAATAATGCTCCAGTTATTACGAGTTTGATTTTGACTAATTGAATATTTGATGTACGAACAATATGAAACTATATTTTCGGTAAAATTTTTATTTATCGAAGGTCTAGTATTAAACGATCTTATCGACAATTATGTATGTTGACCTTCAAAATTTTATTTCAAGCTTTCAAGAATATTTAGTCTGATTTATTAAAAACTAAGTGAGTTGACCTATTTATTTAACTGCATTCGTAATGCAAACATTAAATTTACAAAATATTAATCTAATAACAAAAATTTAGTTACAGTATCCTATGTAGTTACTATAACGTATTCGTGTTAGGGAATATTCGTTGTTTCAATGAGAGATTAATTTCAAAAATTGAAAGACACTTTTTTACAATTTTGTACGATTTGTTTTACATTAAGAAGAAATGTCAATATCAAAAATTAAATTGATAATAAAATTATTGTTGAATTACCAAAATATGACATTGTCCACTTAAAATTCCTCACAACATTGATATTCTTTATTTTAATTTGATAATTTTAAATATGAAGCCTCGAACAACTCTCCATGAATTAAATGTATCTTAAGTTTTGTATTGGTATAATATCAGTTGAATTGAGACATTGACATACCTGTTTAAGCAGTCATATTATGTTATGCATAAAATCAAAAGGAAGTACTTTATACAGAACAAAGTATATAAAACGGCTTATTCAAATCAATAGTCACAATTTTAAAATGAAAAAATACTGTTTATATTCATATGTATTTATTTTTCCAGTTTAATATGAAACATATTTCAAAGTCAAAGAAGTCTTCTTTTAAACGCTGAAAAAGTGAATTATGAAGATCTTAATTAGTAAATATTTAATATGAGTATTAATTTCATTAAATTTGAATTCAACTAAGATCTTCATAACTTATCTTGATTGATCTGAATATAATAATTTATTGAAATTACTTCTACAATTTCTAACTTGATATAAATATAAAATATATCCAATTTATAAAACTTCATGTTACTTTCAAATCGATTTCATATTTCCATATTACTATGACATCAAACATATTTTTTCAAGTTCAAAAAGTGTGGAAAATAATTTACGTAATTGTTCTTGATTGTTTCACTCTACACATAATTACAATAAATATTTGAAGATGTAACACCTATTACTGACAAGACATAAAAGTAAACAAAATTACTAATTTGTTTTTCTTTACTAATTCAAAATTTTTGTAAAGTATTTATAAAGAAAACGTTTGTTTACTTTTAAGTACTTAATTACGATATAAACAGTATAATTGTATGAATACTTCCAACACTTATTAAATAATTCAATTCAATCTTAAAATAAAAGTAATTGATAATATAAGTATTCTTATTTATGGATTTCAAATTTAAATTATATAATAGATTAAAATAGTTTAAAGTACTTTACTGTTGCATTCAATGACTCGTTTGATTTTATTTGACCAGAAATATACAGATAAAATTACCTTCACTTATCATAAACAAATCTGTAAATATATTTCTAGTTTGTGTGTTGCTTCCAGTATACCAGAAATTTTTTGTGTTGATCTAGCAGGTATAAGTAAGATACTTCTCTTATATTTGTTACAATGGTTATGATGGCATTATTCTGCTTGTATTATCAACGTTTTAGTTATGTTATATTCTGTTGTGATTGCCTGAAGTTTCTATCCAGTACACATCCCAATGTTGTACTCTTATATTGTAACATCTAATTTGTTTCTTTTGCCGTTTCATTTAATACATTTCAATGTACTTTTTCTGTTTTATATATCTTCATCTTCATTACGAAGTATTAAATTTAAACTCAAATGACTGTGGCTGTCTTCTTACTTATATTTAATCTTCTATAATAATTAACGATATCTTCCTTACAGTATGATTAATGGAAGTAACATATAAAAATATGATTGTTCATGTTGAAATGAAAAAAAATTTAATGTTTTGATTCACGGTTGTATTTGAGAGTTTTAAGTATGTAACATAGAGTATATAATTATCCATTCAACATTTTAACACTATAAAAATCAATATCTATTCATAAATTCATATACTTTTATAATAATTTAAGTTA